TTTTTTTTTTTTTTTCTTCTCTATCCCGCATTGAGTCTGCTACCACATAGCACTGCAAGTGGCATTTTCAAAGGCTTTGAGCCAGGGCTGAGAAGTTAGAATTAGACCCTCCTGAACACGTTTTTCTTTGCAATAACTGGATGCCACAAATCCATATGCATTTACTGTCCAGCAGTCCAAAAGAAAAAAAAAAAAGATATCTAATTTTGATTATAATTCACGCATTCACCTTTACAACCATTTGCTAGACTTTAATAATCTAATTCTAAAATTAAAGGCTTTAGTGCATTGTAAGGGCCAAATCCTTTAAAAGACGCGCTCTACTAGCTTCAGTTGACTGCTCACATGCACACTGCAGTACCAAATAGTGTGGCTGTCTATAAAACATTATAAATGAAATATAAAGAAAAACATGAAAAAAAAAGACAAAAAAAAAAAAAACCAACAACAACAAAAAACAACCAAACATGTTTAAATCCCTCCAAATACTTCAAAAGACTTCATCTGCATTAACTCTGCTGGGGGATGTTGTGGCTGCCTTACTGTACTGCTCTCGCCTGGCTGGTGAATTGCATAGTTTAAGGGTTTGGAATCTTAGTGAAATGGAGAAATTAGGGATGAAGTGGCTTTTTTACATGAAAATGTCATTGCTTTTGGATTTTACAAAGCAAATTTTTACCTTTAACTAACTTTGTTTATTCTTTTTCTCTAGTGAGGGAAATTTATTTTTTGCCTCTAGTGAGGGAAAATTTAAGACAAAATAATAAAAAAAAAAAAGTGGAAATAGATTTGATTATATTACCATGCAAAAGCCCAATATTCCTCTTTCGAGGTTAATGTAGCAGTAACATACAGTAGTTCATAGCACGTGGTTTTTCCATGAGGTATCATCTCTCCCATGCAGGAACTTCTTTCTAATATCAATATACTTTCCTTTGATTTTTAACTTACATTTGTTTTATGACTGAATGAAAAATACAGGATATGCTGTTTAGAGTGCAGTGTATCTCCACCTGCTCATTCCTTCCCAGCCCTCCCACTCCCAAAAAAGGATCCCTCCATCCCGAACAGAGCACTCCCAGGCAGGAGTTACATGGCTGTGTGCCTTACTGCTGTATGAAAGCCTTTGAAACTGCTGCATGTGGACATGAGAAACCAAGCACAAACCATGTGCTACCACTCTTAATCTGATAGCTGTCCTTAGCAGAACTGCGTGGGGAAGTGTCTGAAATACTGCAAAGCTCTGCACTTTCCTTAGTTCACATTTCTGTTATCCCAGACTCATTTCCAGCTTTAAAGATTTTCTCACAAATATTACACTTGTTGACTGATTTGAATGTTCTTTATTTTTGGGAGTGGGGGACAGGCTGGAAAGGGATAAGTTAATCTAAACCTGGAACTCAATATATGGCACATCTGAAAATGTATGAAGAATTATGAAAGATGTCCCTTAACATGAGGTAAATTGAGGATAAAAAGCCAAGGAGAAAGCAAGCTGATCCACTGAGTGGGAATGAGAACCATATGGAAGCCAGCAGAAGCACAGTGCTGGTCATCCTCTGGAGCCAGGGTGTCCACCCTGCTGCACTGTCTGCAGGAGTCACCCAGCTCCAGGGAATGACTTCCAGGAAAGCAACAGGAAGGCAGTGGCATAACATGGAATTCCACTTACTGCCCTAATTCAGGTGGGAAGGAGTGGGGGGCCTCGGTAAGGAGACTTTGATCTCTTTCTCCGACATAGTGACAGGAAGACAGTTATGGGGCTTGCATCCCTCTTTGTCCTTCATGCTTCACGGTGACTTGGAGATACTTTGACATGGGTCCTGTGTGCACTCTCTGTGCCAGCTGAGTGTTCCCAGACTGGCTATCCAACTCCCAGTGAGCAAAGTGCATCAATGTAGTTTTGCAGGTCACACACACACAGAGTAACACCAGGGACGCAGTGCTGCCATACACCTGCAACTTCCCACCTTGGCTCTAGAAATAGCTGCATTTTTCATTATACAAGCATCAATGACATGTTTGTCATTTGTGCTACACACAGAGTACAATAAAAATGCAATAGTCCCCATGTAGGTGTTACTGTAGCACTTTTCCTTTCCCTTGTGGAAAGGTTAATACCAAAAACCTGGTTTGCTTGCCCCTGACTGAATAGCTGTGCAGAAATGTAAGTGGAGAATCAATCCACAGAGTTTTACAATGCAAAGCTTGTTTCTCATCATTAAAATCGGATAACTCCAAAATCAAGCCAAAAAAGTTCCAGTCTTGTTTTATTTGAGCTTAGGTACTTCTTACACTATCAGTGCAGTCTTACAGAAAATAAGGAAATGGGTCCAGTTTGCATTCAGGCGACGGAAAACAAGGAAGGGCATAATGAATTGAATACTATTCTGGCAGATCATTTTTGGCAACATTTTTAAAGTCCAAAGGATATCAAAAGTCATGGATCATAGCCTAATTGTGTGGCTCTTTGTCAGGAAAAACTTCCACTGAGGACTTGTGGGATTTTTTAATATGTTTTATGTGTAAAAAGATCTGGGTCCACAGTGAATTTTATTGTTTTACAGTCAAGACTCACATATGTACTTGATTACATTTTGACCAGTCATTATGTTCTACTATTATTGAAAGTAATAGAATTAGACAAAAGAAAACATAAGAAAGTAGTAAAATGCAGTGTAGCAATAACGGGGTCTTTAGAAAAAGTTGTCATCTTTATGTGTGTAAAGAAGTATATGTGGCTGATACCGTAGAGGACTCCCATGGAATTCCCCCGTTCAAAGTGATAAATTACGCTTTCCTAGGAAGTTAAAATTTCCACAAAAGAAAGGTTTGGGAATGATGTTTCTTCTCAGAATCCAATCCCCCCCCCCAAAAAAAAAGAAAAAAAACAAAAAAAAACAAAAACAAAGGGAAATAAATGGAGGAGGCTGCACTGCTGGAAAAACATCATTGGGTTAAATGTATTTGCTAGATACATTCTAAAAAATGCCAGGAATCGATTATGTCAGTGGGAGGTAAGGACTCCTAAAGTTTTTCTGGGAATATGATTTTTCAGGAAATATTTTTGTTAGGTGGCTGAAACTCAGTGCAAGAGTCAGAAGATGAAAGAGCTATTCCACATGGGCATTTTTTCCTTAATGCAAATATTCTATTTTTTTTCCTGATGGAGAGCTGCAGCATTCAGAGAAAAGTGTGAATTCCATCTGAGGTCAGATAGGCAGCCTTGACCTTCTCAGTTTTATGGTAATTGTTAAACAGCACCTTCCACTCATTCAAAGAGGCTATGCATGTCTCCCTTCCTGGTGGCTATCCAGCAAAACTGACTCCAGCTGCGAAACTCCCCCCTTCCAGGTCAGCTGTGATGTGTTGTTCCTAAGACTGTAATCTGTACATAAACATAACTACAACTTGGAGTCAACAAAACTTGAATTTGCTCCTTAAACTTAAACAGAATTATGTGGGTCCCAGAGGTTACGCTGTGATGTATCTTTATTAAAAACCCAACGTCTACCTCACCGTTTTTCTTTAAGACCCACCTTCCTCAATGCTTTAAGCTCGTGGGTAAGAAAAGACTGTAGGTTTTTTTGTATGGGGCAGGTCACTGCCAACACACTGTGATGGCTGCAGAGGTAGGTCCTAGTCCTGGAAAGATACGTGCATATTTCGAACCATATTTGTACTGTTGAAAATTCATGCGGATGGGACAATGCAGGTTTGGGACAGGCATGGCACACTCCTGCTTCTGGTATAAATGTCTCAGAAAGCCACTCAGATTGCATGTTTAGAAGAGCATTTACACTAGAATTGCCTTTTATTTTTTCAATATAAAGAATGTCTACTAGTTTAGCTTATTTTAAAAAATATTTCATGTGAATGATCTAAATTTCTTCTAATCCCAGTTGCTCAAGCTTTCGCAGTAAAAGAGGAACTTCTTTTTTATGATAGGTTTGATTCCTCGCTGCATTGCTTCGTTTTTTTCCACTTGTGTCAAGTCACTGAGAACAGCACAGCAATTGCATTATAAAGCTGGAATCATCAGTAGTGGAGTGGCTCCAAAATATTTGCAAAAGCAGAGTGAGTTAACTGAAACATGCGGCGTGGAGAAACTTGCTAATTCATTTCAATTATAGTAATTTTAGGAGATATTCTTAGGTTTATTTAGAAAAAAAAAATCACATGGGTCTTTAATATGTTCATTCAGGCTGATAATGTCCTTTAATAATCCGTAACAGCTTGAACAGTTTGAAGAGAAATTAGGAAGCAATTCTAAGATCGTGAAGCAGAGTTATTGAAACCTCCTATAATTTAGACAAATCAGCTACTGATATATTGTTGGGGATATCTGGCAATAACAATTCTGGTCGTAAAGAGATCCTTTTGTTTTTTCTCTATTGCATATTTAAGTAGGCATATTTAAACTGCATATTTAAAGGCACAGATATCCTGTGCCTTTAAATCACACATACTTATTTAAAGGGATACAAAAGTGCAGTTTTGCATCTGCTCCTTGCTTTCTCTTGAGTGAGAGTTATGGAAGACTATCCAAAAGCTCATTTGACTCACTTGAGAACATGCCACGGTCTTAGATTGAGTGCCTCAATTTCCACATCTCACCGTTTCTAGTCATTTTATTTATATGATGGAAATATGTTCATTTTCTCTGTCATGGTGAATTTACTCCTCTTGTCTTCAGTAAAAATCAAGCAAAAAGTGACAGAGTTTAATGAGTTAATAAAATGTGGCCTTAATTAGGAAAATTACCTCCATATTTTTCTCATATCGTGCAACCAATTTTAATGACCGGTTACTATGTGAAAACTTGAAAGAGGAACCTTTTTCATAGTTGCAGTGATATCAAGTTCAGTAATTTGCACACAGTCACTGAAAGACTTTTTGATAATCTCCTTTAACTGGGAATTGTTACCTGAAGATAGGTCTGTACAGTCAAATGCTAATAGTATTACATATGGAAACACATAAATGCATGCAAAATACACTCTTTATCATTTGCTGGTGCTTGTACAAAGAATTCCCAAAGAACTGAGAATTATGTAGGATCTCTGAGACAACTTTTCTTACACCCTCACAATTGTTCACTAACATGGAAATTAATTTTACATGTGCCAGACATATAAATGTTTCAAATCTGTACTGTTAGCAGAGTTCTTTTCTTAATCTTGTGTGTTGAATTACAGTGCTTCCTTCATTTTGCAGACAGGAGCTCTCCATTGAAATTTGACTGTATGCTTATAATTGTATTGTCAGTTCATGTAGTTAACCAGAATTTACACTAGAGAAGAGACTGAATTAACTAAACATCTCCCTAGGCTTCACAGAAAATGCTGAATATGGAATCAATGGAGAAGGAGAGGAATAAAGGGAGAAAAAAACGATGCACTTCTTTTAAACATTTTTAGTTTTTAATGCACTTTTTAAAAAATCCCGAGAGTGTTTTTGAAACAGGATTAGAAAGACACTGGTGTGCTTATTATGACTCTCAGCTCTTAGTTTTCAGAAAGGACCACCCTTCATCCTCGTAGTTATCATTTACATTGGGCAATGTGATGAGGCGGAAATTAAAAATAGAATTAAAATGAAGACTCTAAAGTAGAGTCGTTCACAAGATTGTGAAGTCTAGCATATTAAATTATAATAATAAAGCTAATTATCAGCTGCTTGTTGGGATACTGAACACTTTTAATTAAAACTAGTTTGTAGGATTCTAGCAATTTTCTTCAACTGTTTGCACTGGTTATGCAATATGTACTACCTTCTACTCACATGCTACAGCCTTCCTGTTTTGTGCTCACTTGTTTGTGGGAGGTAAAAGTCGTACATGAAGGAAAAAGCCCGCTAAAAATGTTAGATGATGTCTTTTTTTAAGAAAAGGAAAGTCAAGATTAAATTCTTCTCCAGGGCTGTCTTTATGCTTCCCTTCTCTTAGTTGTTGCTTCAAAACCATCAACTCGAGTGGATGTGAGAAGCTGGGTTCTCTTAGGTCAAGATGGACTGATGCAATTAGAAATGCAGCTGTACTGGTCTGCAGGAAGATGCAACAGCCAGCTTAAAAGCAAAAAGGGCTGATGCTGCAGCATATGTACCACTCATTACCTGTTGTTACTGCACACTCTCTCCCATCAGATACATTAAGTGCCACAGGTTGCGTTCCTGCTGTGTTTTCCAGGCTGCTGCTTGGTTTTGCTTTGTTTATTTATTCAACTTTGTATCCTGTAGGTGGTGGAATCTAGGACCCATCTTTGATGCTTTGCATAAAAGCAAATGTTGTAAAGTGGGTTGGGGTTTTATGCTTTTGCTCACTGGTTTGGATATTTGTTTCTAAAAGCTGTAGCCTATATGAATTGGAGCCAATGAGACACGTCAAAGACCACAAAGAGGAGCTGTGCTCTTGCAAGAGCTCTCACGTAGGGCCAGCTGCTCCAGTGACCTGTGTGAGCGGTCCCTTTCCCTCCTGCCAGGCAGCTTGCAACAAGTTAGAGTTGTGAAATCAGCTCCTTCCCCACAGTGGCTGTGGAAGCGAGGCTGGGGTTTGCCAGCTTGCTTCTTCGTTTTATCGCTGTTAACCCAGAGCGACCGCTGCTGAAGAACATGCGACCTACTCTCATTCTATGCTTTCAAAAGCACCTGCAGGCCACAAGTAGAAAGTTCTTCTTGCTTCCCACCAAACTTCTTGTGTTTTCTGCTCTAAGCCTTTGTGTAAAGGTGTATGTTCCCTTGAGGGATGTATTCAGAATCAAAGGGTTCTTTTGGGGACCTTTTTGATTGCCTGGAAAGGCTACAAATGGTGTGCATGTGTCCTCCTTGCAGCACCAGAATTACAGGTACATATAGATGGAAGGCCAGCTCTGAGTTAAGGTGTGCTGTAAACCAGTCTGAAATAACTCCACAAATGTCAAAATTTGTGATTTCTAGTCCATAGATGCCACTGTGCCTGCGAAGCCCACCTTATCACAGGGAAGTCAATAACTACATAGATAGTGAACAAAGAAACAAGTTAACTCTTTGGCACTGAATTAAGTCATTCCACTGACGTATATTACTGATCTTAAGAGAGTAGGATTTGTACGACAACATGCTTATACATTTCTTTGCATTGATAGTAAGCTGTATTAGTGCTAAGCATTCATTTTCCTGAAGAGGAGGGTTCACTTTTGAATTTGCATTGTAAAACAGGAGATAAAATAATAAATTCAGGCTTGCAAATAATTAATTTGGTGTATTCTTAGATTGGAATATTTTGACCTTGCAATGACTTCATCCTACTTGCAGTCGGGATCCTAAAAGTTCCCAAATTCACTTGTTGCAATTTACAATAGGTGTAAATAGAGTAGTGCCTCAGTGATTCATGGGGCTTACTATGATATATTCTCAAGAAGTAGCTCAAGTTGCATTGCAGAGCTGCAAGGAGATGAATTAGTCATGCATGGTTCTTTTTGGGCTCAGGGTTGTGCCAGACCTGGACAAATGCTGACTGATTTAAGGCCAAAATTTTTGTGTGATCGTGGTCAGTTAGGTGCTTCCTTCTTTTAAACAAAATCAGTGTATCCTCTCAGTTTTAGTCTGTGTTTATTATTAATTAGCTCAAGAGCTCAGGACTTCAACATTTGATAGTTTTTCCAAAGCATTAGCTTCATCTGTGATCTGCTAATTGAATTGTGAAGAAGAAAACGTATAGGTTTGAGTTCTACATCTGAAAAGACTTGAAGCTCTTACACATTTTTGGAAGGAACTTTAAAGCTCTTCAAAAAAGGGAGCCAGCTTTGAAGCTTTTTGGATTCCTAAAGAGAAAAAAGATCTATTATCACTACGTGCTGATCCTTTTCCTGCCATAAATGAAAGCTACACACGCTTGGCATTTGAGAGTAAGATTGCTTTGGTCAGCTGTCCACCCATCTTTCGATTTCTAACTTCAGCTCCTGAATTACCTACTAATGTAATTGGAGTAATTGGATGTGACTGAACTAAAGACAATGAAGTCATAAACACTTCTTTTGTTTGTGAAAAATTTGATTCTGTAGATGCAACTTAAAATGAAAAAATATAAAACAATTCTTTTTCATGCCAAAACAAACAGGATACCCATGTCATAAACATTTCCTAAAAAAAACAATATACAAAAAATTATATCAAATAAATAGTTTGGTACAAATTCTGATATCCATACACAGAGTTCTCTTGTACTTTTCACATAGTTGATGACAATGTTTTGACTGATTCTAGAGCAGAGGAGGAAAGTGGGGTCATAAAATCTTATCATGGAATCACAGAATCCCTTAGACTGGAAGAGACCTTAAAGATCATCAAGTTCCAACCCCCCCATGCCATGGACAGGGTTGCCACAATAATTTTCTATTAATAGATTTATCATGCAAAATTGAAAGAAGTAAATTCTGCTCTTAAAATTTAACCCAAGACGTGTTATGTCCAATTTGAACAACTTTTTAATAGTCACAGAGCCAAAACTAAACACATTGTTGTCACAGTAGAATTACAGGTGGGGGAATGCCCTGCCGTGTTTTCTTTGCTGATACAGAGCACACAAAAGTTAGCTGGGATTTCATTGGTATTTACCAGATGCCATAAAATACTGTGGTGTAAGAGCGTGACTTTCCCCTGTGAAGGATTCAGCAATCTTTAGGATTTTTTAAGTTTGTTTGTTTGTTTAATCAATTTGCTTAGCACTTGTGGATTTTCACCTATATGTAGGAACCATACTTAATAGTTATGAATAACCTTTAGAGAAAAAAAATCTTTCCCTACTCAGTTTTCCACCATCTCTATTTTTTTCTCCGTGTCTCATCCCCAACAAATGGAACAGTTTTGCTGAATGACCTAAAATCATTTATATCAACTCTGAAGACATGTCTTAGATAACTGAGGGCATCAGTTTTTGGACAGGCAATTGTCCACTTTCACAGAAAGCAATCCAGGAAGTATTCCATTAAAAACCAAAATCTATATGTACTTCATTTAACTCGCCTTACCTCAACATGTAGGAACTGGGGAGTGTTTTCACACAGAAGCATGCTGCCTAAGTTGCAGAAATACTGAATGTAAAACAAGAGTAGGTAAATTTGGGAACTGAAATAGATTGATGGCTTTTAAAAGCTCTTGTCTACAAAGCAAAAAAAAAAGTCTTTCTCTTTTGCCTCCTCTTCCTCCCATTTTCACTCCCAGCCTTGCCAAAGCCCTAGCAAGAGAGAAAACTGGGTGCAGTAGGAATGAGATGTCCATCAGGGATGTGATTCCCTTTTTGTGGATATTTTCTGGGGATGTTTTCTTTGGTTGGCTGAGGTTCACTATACTCTGTAGAAAAATATGTAATAATCAATTGATTAATAGCAGCCAGGTGACCCTCACAAGCAGTAATAAATGCATGTTTTGTTTTGTTTTCTGTTGTCACAGTTGCAGTAGAAATAATGGACTGTACTGAGCACTTGTGCTGTACACAATTTCCAATAACCAAGCGGGCTATTTTGTAGGAAGGTTCTGGGTTCTTCCTCTTGCAAGAGAAGCTGCATTTCCTACTGACAACTTCTACTTTGAAATGGACCAATTGAAAGCTCTTGATTGCGATAAGAACTGATGCAAATTTTTGAGTAGTATGTGGCTTTTGCATTTTGAATGGCTGGAATAATTTCTGAGAATTACATGTACATGTTAAACAAATTGTTTTTTTTCTGGAATTAAAGTTTAAGAGCAAAATAAAGTGAACAAAGCATTATTGAACATTAAGTAGTGCCACGGCACACATTCTGTGAGAATTCAGATCTCCTTTGCCAGCTCTATAGGCAAAAACCTGCTCCCCAACTACTCCGTCTGCAGTCCTGAAGTTCCCACTCCTTTGTTATGAAAAACTAGCATGGATCAGATGAGGGAAGCCAACTTTCACAAGGTGATATGGCAGTATATTGGTTCTCAGATGTCCTGCTGCCATTCAGAGGTAATGAGGAGACCATAAAGCTTAGGTGACCAATATGAATGACTTCTGCTATTGTACTTCTCCACTGCAGTCTGTTAGATAGCATGCAGAAGACTTGGAAAAAAGCTAAAGAAATCATGCAAGTTGGGCTAAAAACGTTAGGATATCCTTGATGCCCTTTCTGTCGGAATCCCGGCCACATCCTCCTCTGCTTCCAACTGTGAAGAAAATGCAATTTAACTTCAGGAAACATGGCTGATGGGGGATGTATCTTGGTTTTAAGGAACCAAGCACAGAGGCAACTCCTCTTTTGGTGGGATGTGAAGTCAGTCACGTCTGGCTCAAGCTGTGACCTCGCACAGCACAGCTCACAAAGTGCTTACAGGGTTCTTCCACTCCCCACCTGAGGCCACCTCAGCTGCCCACACCATGATTTGAGGTCAGGAGCAGGTTGTGCTGGGACTACCTGCTCTAGCAACGCGTGTGTTATCTGCGGGGCTACCAGCTGTCCGTGGCCGGTGTGTGGGGCCCAGTGCTCACTGCAAACCTGAGTTTTATTTCTACCCCACTAACCCTCCGCTTGCTTCTCCCTGGTGTTTGTGGTCACTGGTCGCTCGCTCTTCAGAACATGGTGTGTCGCAAGAGGAGGGCAGGAGCTTCCCAGTATGACTTACCAAGCGGTGGAGCCAGCCATCTGTCAGCAAAACAGGAAGGCCTGGGTTCCCTTTCTCTCCTGGGCCTGTTTCGCTATTTTAGGGAGTTGTACTTCTCCCCGTGTAGCGCCAGGCCGGTGTGGTCTGTAGGAAGGGCTCCTGGACGAGCGAGGGGCCCCGCCTGAGGCTGCTGTTTGCCCATCTGCTGCTGCCTGAGGTGTATTCATTATTAATGGAGGTAGTGGCGGTTGCTGCTCAGATATGCAGCCCTGCCTGGGTAAATGAGACATTCTTCAGCAAATTGCTTCGTTTTTTGATTGCTGATTGTACGCGTGTCACCAAGCTGACTCAAGGTTCATCGATGCATGCTCAGTAAATTAGAAAGAACATAACTATGGATCAACCAAGAGAATGAATTCTGTGCCTACAATGACCCAGGGCCATTTAATTTTCTGCTTAATTTTGTTGCAGTCAGTTTGCATTTTGGGTTATTATGCAGTGGGAAATTAACAATAAATAACAAATTTGGTCCTCCTGTGCTTGTAATGATATTTTTATAAATCTTTGTAATGCTGTTTTTAAAAGGATCAAGGTCTGTGCCAGTCTGATACTCCAGCAAGTATGCAGGGAGGAAATAAAGAGAAAAATACATTATTCTTCCCAGATAATCTTATAGTTAAATAGCAAAGGGCTTTTTTTTTTTTTTTTTTTTTTTTTTTCCCCCTTCTTTCTCCTTCTATGTGTGTTTGGAGGGAGGGGGAGGTTCTTCTGTGTCTGTACGTGTGTCTTATTTTGCATTAACTTAAGGCTTTTCCTCTCTTCTCAGATAACTTGAGGAAAATGGAAACAGATGAGGCTCAAGATATGTCCCAGGTTTCAGGTGAGGTCCTTAATGAATACATTATAAAGAAAATCCTAAATTCCTGCTCATCTTTCTAGCACAGTACAATGTTTTTCTTCTTGTCAATAAAAATTGCTTTGGGTCTTTTTTAAAAACCAGAGTGGGAATTGAGATATAATTAATGATATCACTTAATATCAAGCTCAACAGTGCATGGATTTTCTAAAAGGAACTGGGTAAATAAAGAAGTCAAGGGAATATAGCAGCGTAGAAGTAATTTTGCATTAAACCTTTGGTAGTATATCCCTGAAGCGTGGTCAGGTTCACATTTACACTCTTTCTTTAGGGAGCAAAATTTTGATTGTTACAAAGTAAATATAGAACAAACAAAGTTCACCAGATGAGGGGGAGGGCAAATACTAATTAAAAGCAAACAAACTTTATTTACTACATTGGGTTATTTGACTTTTTTCCAAAGATTCTGAAACTAAATAGAAGACTGATTGACATGAGACTTTAAGCTTGTAACTGCTTTTGTCCAGAGTGATAATATTTTTGAACCTGCTTTAGCAGGAGGTTGTAGTAGGTGATTCCAAAGGTCTCTTCCAACCCATACAATTCAGTGATTCTGTGATTTTGAGAAATGTATGAAAAATAAAGAAGTTAAGTTTCTGAAATTTGAGCTGTGGTGGTCTGGATAGGATTCTGCAATCCCATATTGATATTCCTATGGGGAGCTTTATTCTTAATTTACTTGGAAACTGATTCCTTAACAGATTGGTACTGGAACTTAGCAAAGCAACATGTACTAACACCTCAGTGCTTCAGCAGCTAAAAAGGGATAAGTTAGTCTCTCTCCTGGTTTCCTTAATGTGTTAGCAGCTGCAACAGTTAATGGCTTTCAGTTTTCACTTTTAGTGTTCAGCCTGGAGCCCTGTTCACCAAGGCCTCCTTCCGGCAGCCACGCTGGGCACATGGCTCTTTTTTGAGAGAGAGCTCTTGGGCTCTCAGTTTCAAGACCTAGAGGCCAACTGTAAGAGACTGTGAAGGTCCTGATCAAGTGTGGGTGGCCATGTTGTGAATATTTTCCTGAAATATATGAACACAATTTTCTTTCTTTTTGCCCTTCTTTATAAGAACGTTGATGAGTTTCCACAAAAATTGGAACACAGAACTTTTAAAATCACCTGGAAATTGAAAATCAGATGCATTTTCCAAGTGAAAGAACTACAATATAGTAACACTTCATGCTAACAGACGATTTTCAGCTAGGTTTGCTAAAGGAAAGTTGTTCTTAGTAGGCCGTATGGAAGCGTGCTTCACTCCCTTTGTCAGTTAACAATTTTAAAATTAAAGCTGGCTATACTTAATGTCAATGTTTTGTTGCAAACTGGAACAATTTGTAAATGAAATAAAGCATGTCCTGTGCCTTCTGTCTTTGGAGCATGAGTGACTCTAGCAGAAAAAGCAGTGGGTTTTTAATGCCACAACTCTTTTGTGTGGACAAAGCACTGGATCTGCTCAAAGTGTTGAGGCACATGGTGGTTTGAGCCCAGCTATTCTGCATGCTGCAGAAGCTCTTTCCTGCTCATGTGAGCACCTGGGGCCAGGAGCTCTGATCTTCTCTTCCTCTGTGGTAGCGCATACTGCCTGGGATGCCCACAATTACCTAGGTGGCATTTTCACAATGGCAATAATGTGAGTTCCACGCTTGCTGTCTCTTACAAGCACATTATTTTTCCTTGAATGTGAGGAGAAGATGTGTGGAAGATATTAATTAGAATCTAGTGGATGTGGCTGAGAAGGTCATCTGGCCTTCTTTACTGTCTGCTTCTCTCTTTGAGAGGAAAGACTTGCAGGAAACTTTGCAGTGTGAATGTTTGTGCATTTAAGTATGTATACATGCATTTAATTTGTAGCTTTCAAAGTTTTCCAGAGTTTGAACCACTGCCATACTTTGCTGAACATTTTAGAATTTCTACCAAATAATGCTGATGAGAATAGGACTCTTCTGTAATTAGGGATAGTTCTCCTTAAAAAAATAAATATATTGGTGCAAGACGAATTTTACCTCTGACAAAAAACATAAAGCTATATGAACTCTTCCTGCCCTTCCTGTCACTGAGCTGCTGATAGTTTCATCTGGTACATTCTGTAAGCAGAGGCTGTATTGAACTCTTAGTTAGATATGTGAACAAGTGGACAAATAAAGAACTTGCAAATATACTTCCATTTATTATGAACTCAGCCTTATGCAAGTATGAGTTTGTCAAATTAAGTTCCACAGATATTGACTCTTACTAGAACTTATCAGCTCATACTAGACCTTAAAAGTATAGACTGCGATGATTCAGGGATGTTACTTCTTTCTCACTGGCTGGCAGTTCCAGAAAGGAGTTTTTCCCTATCTTGCCCTCTTCCTGGGATTCTGCATGCTTCTAGGATGCTTCCTTGCATGACAAGGGAGGTCTGCTCTGTAGTGGGATTCTCATGCCAGATGAAAAATACTCCTAGTTGTTTCTCCTACTCTGTGAGTAATGCTCATCAGATGTAGAATATTCTCTGAGCTTATGGAATTAGGTGACTTGGTTCACACTTGGTTATGCCTTTTATTAAAAATAAATAAATAAATAAACCAAATTTTGAGGACCTTCCCTTCCCGAAATAAAATTGGTCTCTAGAAACAGTCTTTTCACCAGAGGAGCAGTGATTTTGCCTCCATTTGCTGCATTTATGCAGCTGTGACTGACTCAGTTGTGGCAGCAGTGAGCCAGGCCAATAGAATACAAAGCTCCCGTGAGCGAGCCAAACCCCACACCCGCATAGGCAATTCCCATTTATTGGAATCCTGGCATCATGTGCTCCTAGAGGAACCGAAATACTGCAAGACCACCTCAGAGTTCACAATTTGTATTCTTCTTCTGAAAGCGATATTTCATGAGGCAAGCAGTTGCAGTTCTGAAATGAGGAGAGAGCTGACATACATTTAACCAAGCAGTATCCGGCACCCATAGAAAAGAGTCAGAAAACACAGATAATATCTCACTTAACAAGCAGTATTTTTCCTGCTTTTTTTTTTTTTTCTTTTTTCTTTTTTTTCTTTTTTTCTCTCTGTTCTAGGGCATAACAGCTAAGGAAGATGAAAAAACAGTACAAATGTTTCCATGTTTAACAAAAAAAAATCTCCCCAGCACCTGCAAGGCTGTGCCGCGCTTTGCAAAAGCAGGAAGAAGAGTTTTGCATTTGAAATTCTTGCTAGATTCTGGGAATGAGTAAATGAGTATATCCTGTGCTGATTTCTACCACCTGAGCGTTGGCTAATGTTCCAGGACCGTTTCCTCATTCACCTCAGGTTGGAGATTCTGCTAGAGAAAATGGAATATGAACTGGGTTCTGGCTTTTAGCTAGAAAATCCATGTATTGCTGTTATTGCTTCACTGCTTCTTAAGTGGTTCCAGCACTCCCATACAAAACAGCTAACTCTCAGGTGTTAAATAAATCCAGCATTCCTTTGTGGAAGAGTAGTGAACTAAATTTCAGTAAAAAATCCTGTCCTGGCTTTCTTTTCAAGAGCTGCAGTTTTAGCAACACCATTGCACCACGTGAACTGAAGAGCTTCCATTTTGGAGTGAGGCTGTGAAAGCGCCAGGAGGCATACAAACTTAGATAGGAATAAGGGAAGCAAAAAGCTTTAACGGAGTTGGACACTTTGTTCCCTTTCCTCGTCTCTACTAGATGGGTAAGGCACAGATGAGGAAACTGAAGTACAGAGGAGCTGACTAGATATCTCACCACCACTGATAAGTTAGGCCATGCTGTGAAATTTTTCATACAGGGATAGCAGTGTTTGGATACCTGAGACTGTTTAGAGCTTCAGCATGAACTGGTGCAATGTGTCACACACAACCTGCTTTTGAAGCTATTTGCTTTGTGACTTAGCTAAGGGCACTGTCAGTGAGTGGCAGAGCCAGAAACAGAACTTCAGTTCTACAGCTCCTCTGTCGCTTATACTTTCCTCACATGGCTCTTTGTAAAGGTAGTATTAATAATAATAAAGATACAAAAACAAACAAAAAACAAACAAACAAACAACAACAAAAAAAACCATGAGAGATTAGTTTATGATTCCCTTATTACCTTTGAGCAAAAATACATCTGGAATAGATTTTTGATCTATTATGTGACATTCTAATGATTTATCCCAGTATTTGCCACTAGTTTTTTGTGGGTTTTTTTAGCTCTGTCCCTTTGGCCAGTCATTATTCTGGACATGCTTGTTAGAAAGTAAATGGGAAACTGTTCCTTCTTTTCTTTGCCCCTTTTCCATTTCTAAATTCATTGGCAAAAGGATGTTAGTGAGATTGCATATCTGTCAGATTAACATGCAGTAGTGAACCTATCACGGTTTAACAATTTAGATGTAGTTAAGGCATGAAATATGAATATCATGCTCTGGAATCTAAAATGCAGAATTCAACAAAAAATATCTATTTTAAATCAACTGCTTCTACCCTGCCTTTTTGCATGCAGGGATTTCTATATCATATGTAGCATGAAGAAGTCAAATGATGGAAGATGAGTCACTAAAGCCAAGTTTGCTAAGTTTTGTTAGCTGCATCTGAAGAAGGAAGTCTATCAGATATCCTCCTTCTGTCCAAACAGGTCTGTGAGGCTTGTCTGATTCATGCTATCTAGGCAAGCTACTATTTAGTTAACAAACAGAAAGTTCATATTTATTCAGTAAATGCTGTTTGTCACCATAAACTATCAAAGTTCCAATTTATAAAAAGGTTCATTTTCCAAGAGACTTATCTTCGAAACATTCTCCTTTGTTTTCTTATCCTAGGATGCTCAACTACATATTAATATTGTTTGGTTTTGTTTCCTGTTCATAATCTCATAGCTCTGATAGTGTTTATGTGGATTGGTAGCCATTAGAGTCTTCAGCTTTTTAAGTAATGTGTTCTTCTGAATCTAGGCTAAGGCAAACAATCAATCTTGATTTGTGTAACTGGGAGCACACTTTGCACCTTGGAAGTTACAGGTGGCTTTTGAATATTATTATTTAACATTTTTCCTGGATGTAGTGCCAAGAGAGCTGATTCTGACCAGGCTGCCTCTTACTCTCAGATTAGCAGCCTGGATTTTTGGTTTGTTTTTTTTTTTTGTGTGTGTGGGTGGTTTTTTTTTTTTTTTTTTTTTTTTTTTTTTCTGGGGAGAGAGTTGAAAAGCCTGGAATATTTCTGCTGCCTCTCCTCATTCACGCCTCCTATCCATAAGATATACCTCAGTTTGACAGGCATGGGACTTGCATCAGTAAAGCTGCTGGAAGTTCCTTTCAATTCCTTAATTTTATAAAGATGTACTTTATTTTCCTTTGCTGTGAAATTCCTAGTCTCTCTTTTTCATTTATGCAATCCACAATCACTGTTGCACTCATTTTCAGTGGGCATAATTCTGTCCATTGAAGAACACAGCACAGAAGTAGGAGATGGAGGGAGCCCTACTAAGTCACCCAGCCATCCCTGTACCTATGTGTGACTGATCTGTGGTGGTCCTCAAGTCCTTTGGCCAGACAGTTTCAGCACTGCTCTCACCACCTCCTCTCAGTGATTGTTCCACATTCCAATAGGTGCATCATTAAGAAATGTATTCACTTATTACATTCATTTAAACCTATATCTGTGCACCGCAACAGTGAATTTCCCCCACTGTTACCCTGTTTTCAAATAACTTGAAGTGATCTTCACAGAAGGATTACAGCCATTAAAGAAGTTGAGTATCAAGTAGTTTAATGTTCTTTTGTTCTCAAGGACATATAGATAGTTTTTTTAACAGTAATTCTTGTAGGAATTTTAGTAATCTACACTTTTCTCCTGCGAAGGGGAGAGCACAGGTTACCCTAGAGGGGTTTTTAGTTGCATGCCCCTTGGAGCATGGAGAAGATATAGCATATTGCACAGCAGGGTAGTGTTTCCCTCAGGCTGAGCATGAAACTGGGACTGGGACTGTCGTAGTCCTGAGTTTGCCAGGCCCCTGGAAGAAGGCAAAACGATGTGGAAGATCCTTAAACTTACCTATTATATTCTGCCATGATCAGTAAAGACCAGAAGGCACTATGCTCTGCTCCATCCAAGAGGCTGAAAGTCATTTTCTTTTTTCCAAGAACCCTATGTTACAAATCTGTATCAACTGACAGCTAGCAATTACATAAGCAATGTTTGTTTAAATTTTTCTTTTTCTGAGAACTGATTTCAGAATTAATTAATGTTTGTGTGTTCATGTGGGAATGTTCATTAGAATAAACACTTATTTTCTAGGCCTTTGTGCCATGAAATTGCTGCTCCTTATGCTGTGCTGATTGCCATAGGATGTCTAATAGATTGCATCACTGTAAATTGGTAACATTTCCATTTTGGAGACAAAGGTCTTATGTTAATGTTAGTGAGCTCAAATACTGATCTGAGCCTTTTTCCTTCTTTGCTGTTAATTCAAAGATTGGTCTTTCAAGAGTAGTCAAGAAAACTAATCACTTCATAATTCTTTCAGTAGTTGTTTCCAAGGAATGTTTTGCAAGCAGATATGTGAAATCACTCTGAAAGAAGCTGTGCAAGACAGATACACTCCTGTGAGCAGTACGTGTATGCTGTGCCTGATCCTGGAAACCAAGAAACTCCTCAGTTTCTGGAAGCGCACTGCTTAGCTGGAGTGTTTTTTTCCTTAGTGTACCGAATTCGGCATGAACACAGTTCCATTATAGTTAAAATATACTAAAGCCCCAAACTGATATCTTCTACAGTACTTGATATGTGAAAGACACAGAGGTTTGTTTCCTCTTTACAAATATGAGATCATAAAACCCTTGAAGTTGTGCTTCGACCGACCTCTGCTATCTGCACGTGTTTGGGGAGTTCCCAGGAACTGTAGGCATGTGATTATTTGTAGGCAGAAGGACAGCCAAAGCCTGATCTATGGGTATTAGTGAAGCTTGATGAAGATTTAGTTGAATTTTTAGCTAAAGATAAAATTTCGTTCTTTGGCTAGTTCTGTTAAGTTTTATTTGAGAATGAGGCTACTTGATGATTCACCAATGCTTTCTTCACTACTAGGAAAAGAAAGTCCTCCAATTAGTGATGTCCCAGATGACACAGATGAACCTATGCCTGTACCAGAGGACCTTTCTACTACTACTGGAGGACAGCAGAGTGTTAAGAATGAGAGAGTCTTGGGTAAGATGAATAGTCCGCTCTAAGAATATTACTCAAATATAATGTTAAACAACTATAAAGTACGTGAGTATAATAGCAGGTCCTATGCCTTTTCATCTAATCTAGCGAAGGATGACTTGGGTGCTTAGTGTTTTTTGTGCAACCTTCTCTTTGGGAAACGCATTTTGAAGGACAGCAAACCTTTTCGTCTGCAGAGAAGTTAAAGAAATCTGCTCATCTTTTTTCTAAAGCATAACTGACTGCATGATGTTCCCCTTAGGAAAGATTGTTTTCATTCTATGAAGGCAATTGAATGAAGCATGTGATTCCAGGTCAAAATAATGTGAATTCAGATTTGATAAAAATTCAGGAAATTCTCAGATATTTTTGTTACAATTTTTAAATGCTATCTTGAATGTTAACTATTAAGATTTTTTCAGGAATGTTACAGTAGAAAACATATAATATTCATGTTTCAAACTCTAGTATCTGGTCTTCATTTTCCCTTGCTTTTTTTTTAACTGCAAGGACGTCAGAAACAAAATCAATTTTTGTTCTTCTAGGTAAAAGTCCACAGTCATTGAGGTCTGTTGAATTAAAATTATTTTCGAGAAGCGATTTAGCAAAACCCTGATTCTTTTTAGGAATTCCACGGTCCAGCTGATGGACTAGTGATGTTGATGACTACTGCATGCATCAGCTCGTATATAGTCCACTAAGAAACAGATGGTATTACTTGAGTATGATGCTTGTTTACCAGTAGGAAAAATAACAGTAATAAAACTCAATGACTCCCAGAATGCTGGAATGCTTTGATTAATGCCCTGTGTGATTAAAAGTATTCCAAGACAGGACTGTCTATTAAAATGCCTTTGTTTATCTGCAAATAAAAGTATTGCTCATCATTTTCGCATTTCCATTGTAAGAATGGAGTTCAGGGTGGGAGACTGCTTACACAAAGACTGCAAATGCCTTTCAATGTTTATAGTTGAAGGAAATACAATGAAGGATGGTAGGTGGAAAGGGAGGCTGTAAAGGCAAAATAATCAAGTCAAGATAGTACAGCATCTTACAATAGAGCCTACTTCCAAACTCCAGCACTATCTGCTAGATAATACAGCAATTTTTGTAATTTCACTTTATCTCTTGATCCTCTTTTACTAAAAATGTGAGTGTAAAGATCGCCTGCTACATTAACTGAATAAACACACAGGTTTTTGGTTGCACTGACCAAACTTCACATCACAGATATAGATAATCAGCAGTGCTGAAATTTATATTTTCTGCTTCCAGTAGCTCACATATATATCATTATGAACACATACGAAGAGTTACTGTAATAAACTGTATTTCTATAAGGAGAACATTTTACCTTTGGTGTCCTAAAATAAGTTCAATCTGTTGCTCTTATTTGTTTCACTTTGCACACTCAGCAATAAAAAAGATTTTCCTTGTCCTTCAATATTTTTTTCTACAGCCATTTTCTCTAGCTCTTCAATATACAAGTGTACATCCTGTAGTGAGATATTGATATAGTTAACAGAAAGCTGTGTAACAGAACAGAAATACTATGACAATTCATAGTATTCTGTTTTATGAATAATCTCAACTGTAGGTTTCAACTCCAACACTTGTCATGTTCATCTTTTCTATAAAGCTATGTATGCTTTCACCTCTTCTACTCCATTTTCTAGTGCTAACCTAACTTTTTGAAAAGGATATACTGAAAAAAATATGTTCTCAAATGTATTATGATCTGTATGATTTCTATGCACATTCTGGATCATTGTCAAATTAGTTTATTAGGGAAAAAGGAATGCTTTGAGAGGGGTGTTTGGCCTGTGCAATCCCATATATCAGGGAAATATCTTTTCATAGCAGTAGTATAACAATGCAGGCAGGCTTAGTGTTCCATCCATTGTTGCCATCTCTAAGTCCTAGGTTCTGTTTCTCATCTCTGTTTATCACAAAACTTAGAAAAGAAAGTTCTGAAAATGTAGTTTGAAGAGTTGTATCTAGGAAGAGGGCACACACTGATACTACATACATCTTATAGCTGGAAGATAGGCAGTGGCCAGTGATATAACCAACAGGCAATGCACGTGAGCAGATACTGCCAGACAACAATTTTCTTTCGTATGAATTTTCTAATTTCCCATTTGTTTCTGTCTTGAAAAGGGAGTCCCTTTTGCATGCTGTATTTCAACATATGATTTGAATACATTCCATTTGTTCTGCAGCACCCTGAAAGACCATCTCCCCTAACTACATGCACTGAGGAATCTTAATTTGAGTCCAATCTTTATCAAAGAGGACCAGTAGGATCTGGAGCACATTTTGTACATGTAGTGCTATAGACATAATACTGGAAATTGCAATTTTCTTAAATATAAAGAGTAACTAACTCATCATATTAAAGTTCAGTGAGAAATCTGTTGTTAATTTTAATCAACATATGAGATATGTTCAGATGACTGTTTGCTTACCAGATTTATAGTAAATCTTCATAAAACCTTTAAGAAAGATAGGCTTTAGCTCCTCTTTCTTCTTCCAGCTCTAGACTAACAGTTGAATTGGGTGCTGTAGACCTGATAAAGTGTACTATCTGAAACATTTTTCCTCTCTGACTGAAGGTGTAGTAGACTTCATAAATTAAAATACTGAATTCACCTGCCAAATTTTCATGGGGAGCCTTCAGTTTTTTGCAGTCTCAATTAAAATCACCAGAGAGGACACCAGTTTCAAAGGAAGGTGTTTAGATGATCATGAAATGTATGCTTGCAGTTGTGTGACACAGTTGAGCTCAAGATGTGGGTTGCTTCTGACCAATCAAGAAATGATAAATGAGTGAGAAAAAATCATTTGTGGAACTAAGTGATCAGCAGCTTTTAGTAATACCCCTCAGAAGCACAACAACGAAGAAGCATATTAAAAAAAGTATTCAGGTCACTGCTACCTCTCTTCATCTCCTTCATTAGCTTGCTATCCTTTTAACGTTATGAATCCCAGAATACTGTTACGTGTTGAGCAGCTTCCTCTTGCAAATTTTATTTCTGCTGCTTTATCCACTAAACCTTCATTCTTTCTTGCCATCTTCTCCACCCTAGATTTCCTTCTCAGACTTATTCTGTGATTCTGTGTTTATCTGGACACTACGGGGCTCTACACTGAAGTGTAGATTCAGTTGTTCTAGAAAATACAGTAACACTTTCAGAAATGCAACAGTTAGATTTTTAAGGCACACACACAGAGAAAGACTCCCTTTTACCATCTGTGTTAGTCTATGATGCTCCTTAATACCTCTTGTACCTCTGAGCTATGTAGAAAAGCATCAACTGAAATTCTATTCCATTAACAATTATTTCTTTGTAGCTTATTTTAGATGAGCAGCTGTATTTCCTATGCCAACCTGTAATACAGAAGCTGATGTGAAATATCTTCTGCTGCCTCTGTTCAAGTTTCAGGTTAAATGTTGCGTGCATCTTTTGTGGATACTGAACATCCTGTGTGTAGTAGATGGTTTCAATTTAGGACTATTTCAGCCTGGGGACTGTATCCTAATTCGAGCCATGTGTGGGAAGCTAATAAGTCAGTGAGCTGTTACTCAGACCCTGTTTAATGCATAAAGAGCTACTTGTTGCAGTGGTAATGCTTGTCTGAGGTAACCTGTTTATCCATAACTGCCCATACCATATCTAGCCATTGATGGATAAAAAAGAAAAAGCCATCTCACAGTTTCACTGGACTTAGAAAGTAGCTGTCGGCTCAGAACATCAACATTTCTGCTCTTTCAGCTGTCTGATGCTGAAGATGACCATTTAGAATTCTGGTGTATAACTCATGGGTTTCTTGTACAAAAAGTATTCATATCTTAGTCGCACATTACAGCATGGACCTGGAATGCACAGTATGTATAGATAGTCTTCTTTTTGAGAGGAGGTAGTGGGGACGGTTCATCTCACAAAATGGAGTTGAAACTTGGATAACTGACAGAGATACCTAATGTTGCAAGCCAAGGTAGTCCTGGACATCAGTGCGTGACAGAGCTGATTAATGTGAAGTTAGAAACTATTTATTTAAAATCCAAAACACTAGCATGGGAATATAAGTCAAAAGGGAAGAGCCTTCTGACACTTACTCCCCTAGAGCTAGCATCATTGGGAACATGGCATTGTTGTTATATCTTGTGGTTTTCCCTCTTGCCATGGGCATTTAGACGTGAGAGCCTGTACCAGAAGCTAGTTATTTGTGCAGGCAAGTGTCCTTGCTCTGAGCTGCTTTACTTCCTTAAAAGGAGCTCAAGCATTTGAGAACAAGGACACGAGCACTTCAAAGGGCCACCAGACCAACCACAACAGTTTGCCATTACATCAATATATTGCAACCTATACAGAGCTGGGTGGAGGCAGAGTAGAAGTGTGGAAAGGCTGAAGACAGAGAGGAGAAAGGAGAAAAGCCAAAAAGGGAAGTGCCCCACCCCACCTTGCAAAATTGGTCCCACTGTTTGAGACAGGTCCACCTTGCAGATCTTCTTGAGCTTTGGTAGTGTAGGGAAATGGACTGAGGGAAAGACTGCCAGAGCAAAGAGGCTTCAGGCACCCTCCTGTGGGAGCTCGCTGGCTATGAGGGTAATATGTTGTGCATAAGCAATAAAATACCTGTGTGACATGGATTTGCATGGACATAGAATTATTCAGAGAACTAACAGAACGTGGAGAGCTGTGTAATGTACTTTGCATGCTCGGATTTCCAGATGTACATCTTTGTTGCTCAAAAGTATCAAAGTCTTTAGGAGCTGATTAGACTTTGTAAATAACTGCTGATAAATCCTCACCTAATGTAGCTCTGCCAGCCCCGGGATGGAGTGAAAACTGGCTTCAGTATATTTTGGGGAGTTTTAAGAACAGTATTTAGAGTACACTACTCTCCACAATGAAACAAGGCTCCTCAGTCTGACTGAGGAGACTTCTGAAGGAATTGAAAAACTCGTAACTGAAGTATTTTAGGAACTTTTAGAAATA